AGCCCTAAAACCTCAACCTTAAACCCGGAACTCTCAACCCCAAGAGCCCTGAAACCTCAACCTTAAACCCTGAACCCTCAACCCCAAGAGCCCTAAAACCTCAACCTTAAACCCGGAACCCTCAACCCCAAGAGCCCTAAAACCTCAACCTTAAACCCTGAACCCTCAACCCCAAGAGCCCTAAGCCCTAACTGGAGCACCTGGGCTCCTGCTGCGGTGCGCCGGAGGTCCGGGACCAGGCCACGGAAAGGGGCCTGGGAGCCGAAACCGGATTCCTAGAGCCCAGGATTCTACGGCTTAGGGGTTTAGGGTTTAAATTTTAAATTTCGGGTTTAGGGTTGAGGGTTGAAAGTTTACTATTCTTACTCTAGTATAATATATATATATATATATATGTATATATATACATATATATACCCCAACTAACCCTATTCTAACTATTAAGGCCCCTATATTATTCTGGGTAGGGTCCCTGTAAACTCCGTACTAGGGTTGAGAATGAGAACCTAACAAGAAGTAGATTCTGGTAGGTTGAGGTAGAGACTGACTGAGATTTAGGTCTTCTCGGTTGAAGGTTCTTAAGGTTCCGGCATGCCTGCTTTCTTTTGGCATGACAAATGCCAGCATGATGCCTCTGGTCTTGCGACTCCCGGAAGAACCGGAATGCAAGCGAAATTCTCTGCAATAAAGGGCTCTAAACACACCAACCCGAAAACCCCAAAGCCCTAAATCCCAACACCAAAAGCAGGGGATGTCTTCTGCATTCGCCGCCTGCGAAAAACCCTCCACCCTAAAGAAAGCCCTCAACTCTAAAATCCTCAAGCCCTCAACCTTCAAAACCAACACCCCAAAACCCCGAACACACCAACAAAAACCCTGATCCCCAAGCATCCAAAAGCCCTCATCCCCCAAACCCACAAGAAACCCGAAAAGCCTCCACAGTGACACACCCTGAAGCTCCTAAGAGCAACTAAGCACCCAACAACCCTCATCCCATCAAAGCTCCAATACCCTTACAAACCCTAAAGCCCTACATACATCAAAGCCCTGAACAACCGAACACCCTACACGGTGACACACCCCAAAGCCCTAAACTTTAAACCCCAAATCCCTAAACCCAAAGCCAACCCTAGACCCTAACCCCAAAGCCCTACACCCTAAACCCTAAACCCTAACCCCAAAGCCCTACACCCTAAACCCTAAACCCTAAACCTTAAACCCTAAACCCTAAACTCTAAACCCTAAACCTTAAACCCTAAACCCTAAACCCTAAACCTTAAATCCTAAACTAAGCGAGGGGCCGAAACCGTCGAACGACAGGCCCCGAGCGCTCTGGCCGAGGGCATAACAGCCCGAGCGGCCCTACGAAAAGAGCGGGACGCGGAGAGGGGAGGGTAAAGCCTCCCCGGT